CAACGGAACTTTTGATAAAATCTCTCCCGCGTGCCGAATATTTCTCCTCCCGCATATTTGATCAACGCGCGGCCACTCGACGGATGTTTTATCAAAGTTCCCGTTCGTGAAAGACGCTTAAATTTCAATTTCAAATTTTGCACACAACGTCCGCAAGGATCGGTAGTCAAACTTAGTACACTTTGTAAGGCGATTATCATCGCTTAGAATATCAAACTGTTTTCATCGTATTTGACAAGACGTTGCTCTCTACGTTTAATTTCCACGAGGATACACCACGGGAATATTATCCACGGATAATCGAGTTAGCTAATCTACATCGGGCAAAATGTGCAAAATTTGACGATATAATATACGCTCGCGCCATACTATCCGAACAATCATACCTAAAAGTGTGATCACAGATTGACAGAAGGCGTGTAAAATACGATATTATAGACAGTCATGAGAGATACGCCAATGTAATAAATATCAATTAATAAATACAGTCATTAGACGAGTTATATACAGTGAATACATGTGAGTGCGCGCTTATTCGTAAATATAAATCTCGAAACGCAAGTAGCGGAACCAGAGCAAATATTTGCATGTATGCAAGGAAAAGCGAGATATTTGATTTTGTCAGCGTAAAGTTTATATCTGTTGACTTATTAAAATTATTTTCAAGCCTTTATCACATTTTTTTCTATTTCGCAAAGTATTATATTTATAGTTCGTAAATATGCACATAATTTCACTTCTCGTAAAAATTGTATCTGGATCCGCCAATACAAAATGTCTAGCCATTCGGAAAAGTAAGAGTATTGCATATTTTATATCTTTGATTTTAAACTTTGTGTGGTGCGTTAAAAAAAGATATTCTTACTCACTGTGATGTTCGAGTCAGTAAATTTTTCAATTGAATTTTTTTGAATTTTATATGAAAATTAAAAAAGTAATATTGTCTGCACTAAGAACAAGTACATAAATCAATTTTTCACATTTGCTCGTCACAAGATTATGTATATATAAATCTATATTAAAATACACTTTTAAATTCCTATTTAGAAATTCCGCCTTTTAATTCTTTTTTGCCTCTCTTTATTATTTTTTTAAAACAATCACATTAGAATTATATGAAAATATTATTATTTATAGCAAACGTGGTAACTAAAATTCTCGATATAAATTTTCTAGTTGGAACAACTTTTTAATTGGAACATATTTAAATTGTTAATATTGGTATAAATTCAGAAGAGTAGATAAATGGATATTAAAATCTACTGTTTTCATTATACGTTGTTAAAAAATGTTGCTAATTAATATATTCATTTATGAAAATTTATAATAAAAATTCATTTATGTTTCTTGAAGTGACCGATAAAAATGATTATTGCAATAAAAAAGTTGACTAGTACTGAAGGGTTAACTCACTGAATAGGACTATAACAGTCATGGTGAAGAAATATCCTTTCTCGAAGAAATATTCTTTCTCGAAGAAATATCGTTGAACCTAAAGTCCACATGAAGTCCATAAATTTCGAAATAACATTGTTCTATGTCACGCGAGGCACCTTCTTCTATTTTTATACCTTCTCCTCCGATATGCGAATAAAAAGATTTGACGCTTATACTCGTAATGCGATCATCGTTATTGTTTGTCAGTCACATATATGGCCCCATTACATGTCTAGATCGAAACATCGATCATGTAACAGCGCGTTATCAATTCGATACATGTTCAGTATAGTCATCTTAGATTCTGTAGCTACATATAAAGCTATATATAAGTGTCAATCGACTATTCTCTTAGATACGTCAAAGAAAATCATCATTTATCGTTATTTATACATTCGATATATTACGTTCTCCAAAAAATGCAATTATGTAAATTACATTTTGAAAAGAATAATTAGGAAGGAGATACTTGTTTTTTTTTTTTACTATACGCGTGTTGGCTTGCGTAAATATTGAACGATATGGAAAGCGATATTAATATGTTTTTTTTAACACGTTCACTTCATACATAAAGACACGCACGATGACGTCATACGCATCTTACTATCAATTATTAAGGTACATATGTACAAAGAAATTTCTAAATGTAAAGCATGACAGATATGTGCTCGAATATACGATTAGCAGTAACGAAGATGCCGTGATCGTGGAATGATTTTCTTTCTAAGACGTAATGAATATTTTTAGTCTCATAAATCTGACGAAATATTATTGATAATATTCCTTGTGTAGTTTTGGATGATAAAATCCGGAATTGTATTTTCTTGTCTTTCGAAAAATACAAAATATCATAAACAATATTATTATAATACCTTACAATCTTAGTTTTAGCAAATAATATAAATAAGGCTTTGAAAAATCAATTTTGCATTTGACTGAAATCTCCATTAAAATCAGTTGTCAACTTATTCAATAACAGAAATTGATTAATTTTCCAAATCGCATGATATACGCGTATTGCTATTTAAATAATATGGAATATCGCAATAATTCTGCTCTCTATTGCGAAACATAATTGCGCGAATATTCAAACGAGAAATTCAGGAGTTGACGATTATTTAGGCACGTTATCCAAGAACGCTGGAACGGATTACCAAAAGAAGCTCTCTCTCTCTGTATGATGTACATCGCGAATCTGATACTTGCGATCGCAACTGTGCGGCGTGTATGGACGGAGCAAGCGCGTTCTCGCGAATAGAGCGAATGTTGGTGTGTCACCCGCGTGCGTGCGAGCGAGCGAGCGAGCGAGTTGTCCTCCGATAAAACGCTGCTAAATAAATCGCGAAATCCCTGAAAACGGTGTCTGTCCCCGAGAAAACGCGACGCAGCAAAGCGAACGCATCGCCGCGCGGCACGTAACGAATTACCCGGCCGGGCTGAAGAATAGCATCGTTTTCCAGAATAATTGGCACGACAATATTCACCGACCGATTTTACACGAAATGCACGAGAGAGGGAGAGAGCGCGCCGGGAACGATCGCGTCGCACGGAGAGTGTTTTCGCGTTAATCCCGGATCTTTCGTCGTAAATCGCTCGTGTCCTTCGCGTCAATATGATGCTGTCGGACGTAAGTTCTCACGCTCATCGTTAATCCGCGGACGTGATTATCCCCACGTCGAGATCACAGGAGCAGTTAATGGGTGTCCTGCGCGTACTTGTTTTCTCAGGAGACATTCGATACTTCGGGTAGGAGCAATTATTCAGATATGTTCGGGGGGGGGAGTCCACATTACATAAGTAATTATCAAGAATCACGTTTTGTGCGATATGTAGATTTAAAATTAAGTCGATCAAAATGGCAGCGCTACGAGGATTTTTTTTTTTTCATTTCGAAAAAAACACAGCGAATCGATCTGAATACAAGACGAGACAGGCCGTTTGTTAAGCAATTTTATGCGAATTTGTGCGTTAGGTAAGATGGCATTAGCACGTTTATCGATTTATTTTACTCCTCAGCAAGAAAATATTATACTTTCTATTTATCTTGAAATTTTTTATCTCAATATTTAAAGTTTTATGTATTTTCTTCAATAGAACAACACATTTACGGTACTTGACTTTGATCCTTATTTGATCGCCATCAAAAGAACCTTTCTTGCAAGAGACCGTTCCCGATTTACATAATAAATAGCTGGAGAGACTCTTTTCTTGCCGTTTTAAGAGCGATCCCGCTAAATCGCCGAACATTGGGATAGACCGATAGACGAGCGGAGTACTGAAAGTTTTAACTGATATTATTGCCATCTTTATCATCGAATCGCTCTTATCTGATCCACTTGACTTCACCTCGTTACTGGAATGTTATTAACTTTGGGGGATGATGAGCGCCGCCAAGTGCCTCCTTAAACGTTACGGCATTTTCATCTACCGGTCGACTTACCGCGGCGGGGCCATAATTCGGGATGTGGTGTTCGCGACGTTATTCGCGTGTGTTCGTCGAGCTTAAATCTCACACATAGCGAACTTATAGTGCACCAGCGTAAATTACTCCCCTCCAGCGAGCGCGTATATGACTTCGCGGCCGGTATCCTCCCTCTCGGAATGCCAGTAAGCTCCGTCGAGAAATTTAATCGAGATTGGGAAAACCTTATTTTCCCTCTCGCCCGCGTCTCACGTCTCGTCTTGCAGCCAGATAAAATGCTGTCGCGAGTGAGACACTCGGTCTCTCCCTTGTTACGAGATGGAAATCTCGCGGAAACAGACCTCCCGCTTCCCTTTCGCCGAAAATGGATAAAATGGATGGACGTTCCGCGATAAATGAGAAAGTGCACTATCTGAAAAGAATGCGACGTATGATAATACCAGGAACCTCTCTGCTGAATTTTATAATCAAATATCTGCATCAAAAATTTTCACTCGGAATGAAAACGCCGCCCCGTTTTACAGATGAGCCGATTATTTAACATTTCCGATATCCTTGCGACTAGAATTTCAATCCTAAATAGTCGGAAAACGTGTTTTTCAACACATGCGACATTCATAAGCTCTGACAAAATTCTAACATACAAATCCATAGTTTAGAGAACATCTCCACTGGACGGCAACCATTCGTATCAGCGTCAAAAACATTGGGCTATATATTATAATTTTAACTGACTATATTTTACAAGTAAGCCTATACTTAACTGATCATATTTTACAACAAGATGCAAATCATTTTTGCAGATAATGTCAAGTACCATGACAATTATTATGTCACATTATATCCTTAGTGCTGATGTTATTCCTTAGGTATTCATTGTCTCTTTATAAAATAATATTATAGAAGCCATTGTACATGATAATGAGAAATAAATGCGCTTTTGTTTGAATTGTTAAAATAATATATCCACTCATAAATATAACCAGAGAGGTAATGTATATTCTATTATTTATATATACGATAACGTCTACGCTTTTAATACCAAAATTAATCCTGTTTAAAAGGCCTCGTTTCTTATGAAAACGGAAAAAACTACCCAGAGCGAAAATAATTCAGCCAGTATCAAAGAACGAGCCGAGAGAATCAAGAAACGAAAGAATCAATTCTTTATAAGGCCATACCGGAAGCAACTCCGGTGCGACGTCATTTGTGCGTCGATACAATGATTGCCCGATCTCGCAAAAGCGAACTCTCACGTAACGAGCGTTTGTATAGATGCCGCGAGGACATCTTTATCGGCGGCATCCCTCCACTTTGTGCACCCTACGTGCGTCGCATCACATCGCATCGCATTGCATTGCATCGCATCGCATCGCGTCGCATCGCAATTGTCGCGTCTAGAGCTCATAGACGTCACGTCCGTTCGGTCTGGCCACAGTCGGACGGCAGGACGACGGACTCGCGTACGAGTGAATAATGTGCACTCTGAGACGCACGTCGCTAGAATTTCTACCCTCACCACCGCGCGGTCTCCTCGAGAAGCTCACCGTGGTCTTGCAGCAGCAGTAATGGAAGAGCTTGACGTAGGCGCTGCGAAAGTGGCGGTCCGCCACGCAGTAGAGCAGATTGTTGAAGCAGGACTTGGACAGGGCGAACCAGGCTAGGTTGTAGAGCACGCGGGTGCTGATCGGGACGAAGGAATTCACGCAGACCGCCAGGCCGAACGGCAGCCAGAATACGACGAACATCACGCAGCTACACATGTTCGCCTTCGTGAGCTCGTAGTCCCAGGAGAAGGCGGCCGGCGGTTTGTACGAGCCCCGGGTGGCTCGTCGCACGCGTATCACCAGCTTCACATAGAGAAAGATCGTCATCAGAGCTGGCAGCCCGACCAGCACGCTCGCACCCACCGCTTGCTCCATCGCGATGCCGCTGAGCTTGCGACGGCAAAAGTCAGGACCTATGTCTAGAGACGATTGCAAGGCTACCACTGTCACGGCGATTAACCAGACGATGATGATCGTGGCTGTTACACGACCCGCCGTCAGGCTGGCGTATCTAAGAAATATAAAAATATACCGTTGTAAGTATGTCGTAAATTACGGTCGTAATAAATTAAACGGAAGAGAGGCACGCGTGCGTGTACGTGTGATCCCCTAATTTGTCATGACGAGAATGAATAAATAACGATTTAACAAATGTTTATATCAGAGCGCAACTTTCATAAGGATTTCACAAGAAATTATACATGTACAACCGAGATGATATGACAAGTGTTCTAGAGTGAAATACAACTACTGCTAAGGCATCATCAACCTGCGCGGCTTACCGTTACAACTTGGAATACACTTAGGAATAACTCTCATAGAGATAACAGAAGATAATACGTTGTCTCCCGTCGGATGGATATTTCCCCCTTAATTGCATCACGAGCTTGTTTAAGTCCCGGCTTTCTTATACGGCGTATTCAATTAAAGAAAATATTTCCCCCGGTGATACACTGCGACTGCAATTACGGAGTTGGTCGTACTAGTCTGTGGATTAACGAGGGACTTGAAAAACGAGTCGGTAGTTAGGAGTTAGCGGTGCTGGCGGACGATTTCTCGTTTACAATGCGAGGAAATTTCCTCGAATCCACGTGTTCGCCGTGATTCTTCTGACGCGACTGGTTAAAATACTTCCCGTAATGCCGTATTGTCGCGAAACTTTCCGCGTGCGTATGAAAAGCAGCAGTCGTCGTCGTCGTTGTCGTCGTTGTTGTCATCGTCGTCGTCGTCGTCGACGCCGCCGTCATCGTCGTTTCTCCTCCGAGATCGTCTGCTATCGGTTACGGATTCCGGCAATTCAAGCTAAAGAGAACGTCGCCCGGAATGCGAAATTACAAACTCGATCGTGACGCTGATAGAGAACCATGGAAGCACTTCAACGTCAAACTCCAAGTAGTTCCAAGCAGTGGTCGCCATACGCCATTATACGCGATAGCTTAAACTGATAACAGTAATTTGATTTCTATCCCTATTCGCTGTGTTTACATTACCCATATCCACCCAACAACGTCAAGCATCGCGAGATATTTTCGTGCGGAGGCCATACAAGCGACACGATATATCCAAGTGTATTGTGATATTATCATTTTCCGTTCGGCTCAAATAACATTATCTATCCGTAATGGCAGAGACATTAGCCCAAAGTATTCGTGTACTCGTGAAAAAATACATCAAAGTATTATTACACAAGTATTGTAAGTGAGGTAAGTGAGGATACTCGGGTCGAGAAGAGGGACGATTTTAAGGAGTGCTGGTTATCGATCTTTCTATGCAACGCGCTTCATCTTTTCGTAGGTAAACAGGCGCGGTCATAATTTTCTTCCCTTTACTGTCCCTACCAAAACTTCGACCTCCGACCCGAACGATGACCCGACTTGCCTATATTACTATATTTAGGGTGTTGCCTTAGAAACACTTGCCTAGTAAAGATATCAAAGTCAGATATACGCGAGGACGACCGTATGTTTTCTTAAGAATTATGACACTAGAGTTTCAGCAGCCGCCATCGAAAAAAAATGGCGGAATATCGTTGTAACGAAAAGTGATTTGAAGCGGACGAAGGGCGCGCGTGTTTTCCGGGAACGGTTACATAAATATCTCGATAATCGTTAGTGGAAATAGAGAGTTGCTACGAGGGAAAAACGTCCCCGAGGCAGAACAAGAATGTGCATGCGTAGGGAATTGCAGGAACATGGTGGTATCGATTGCCGGAATCGCCGGTGCACTCGCTTTATCTTTCGGCTGGCAAACAGTTAACACAAGCGGGCGTAATTTTCGGCCGCTATTGTCGCGGACGGCGGTAAGGCCACCGGGGACCAAAGAGCTTTACAAGCACAGTATTTTGGTATATATGTTACTACGACCGCGCCAAATGAAGACCCGCCTGCAAGAACCAGATAGCCTCGCCTTTGATCGAAGTGAATTATTTACATGGAAATGGAGACAATCTCCCGCTGCACAGGATAATGCAAGTGTTTATTAAGGCAAATTGTTAGTCGGTAGTCGCGGCAGTTTGATGAAGTTCGGTAGCTTGTTTGCGCGTGCTAACCATAAATGAATTTAACTCCATCTTCACATATTGGACCTGATAGCGCGATTGAAAATTGATTGTCTCTATCTTTCTCTCGTGCCTTTTCTCGCTTCTCGGGAAATTAAATACGTCACTGTCGCATAATTTAAATTTTATCGATAGCATGAGGAGAGCGAACGGCAAAAAATTTATTAACAATGAAAAATTTAATTATTCGTATATCATTGCGAGAAGCGAAATAAGATTAATAGTATTTCCGATTATATATATAGTATTTTAGATTATATATCAAAACAACTCGGTTTGTGATTAACCGGCAAGTCTCACACTGTGAAGTTCTTTATTTAGTTATCGAAAGCCGCAGTCAGCCGATAAAATTCGCGTTAAAAAACCCATCCCTCCGCGTTTTACCAAACCAAAGAGAAACCCTTTTTGCCCGGCCTTTGCGCGCGAGCGAGAGTTTGTTAGTTTTTGTGGCGGTCCGACAAATCGAGACACCCCGGGGTTCGATCCATTTTTCATGCCACCCTACGGGACAAATAACAAACTTTGTTAACGATTACACCGCGTACATCAGTTCTCTCTCTCTCGCCCCCCCCCCTCCTCCCCCCTCCTCTCTCTCTCACTCTCGTCCCTCCGAGCGAGTGACGGAAAGCGGCCGTGGGCAAGAACGGACGTGCCCGTGTGTCGCGTCGTTCCGGAAACGGACCGCTCAATTAGTATCCGACAAACGCCACCTCGTAAACAAAGCGCGTGGGTTAAAGGCGACGCTTTGAAGGGTCCTCTTTCACGACGCGACGCGGGGAAAAAAGAAGTCGCGCGTAGTGGCAAGCGGCGGCAAAAAGCGCCGACAATCGCAGGAATGTAGCGGCTATTGATCGCGCCAACGGTCACGTGTGCTATATCTTTTCGATCGCCGAAGCCGGCACTTAATTCGACGGCGGATGGGCCTCTCTCTCTCTCTCTCTCCTCCTCTTCTCTCTCTCTCTCTCTCTCCTCTCTCCGTCGCTGACAACGCGTTTCGCCGTCTCTTTCACCCCGTCGTCCGTCGACACACAGAGACGCGAGCGAGGTCACCCGACGCTCCCGAATGAAGATAAAAAAAAAGAAGTATTCCGGATGAGACGACGCGATAACGGTAATAGCGGACTCGTTCCCCGAGCGGTGGCAGTTACAGGGGTTGTAATATTGATCGGGCACCGGGTCACTGTTCATGTCCAGAGTTGGATTCGCGCCATTTCGACGGTCAGACGAAAGGTCAGCACCATTTTTCTACTATTTTCGCAATAAGCTGATCAATTTTCCGCTCTCTCCAACCTACCGACGCATCTCGTTTTTGCAACGCCGCGTATTTGTCGAGTGTAATTGGTAATGCGCGGTGATACATGTGTATTTGTACATTAATCGAGTCCTTTCGCACAAAAAGAGGAAGCATTTTCACATTTTCTAAATGGTATAAATTGTAATGTACGAAAGTTCCCGGATGATAATAATATGGATTAACGTGATGTTTAGCTGATTGGACGACGAATTGCATTATTACGTGTTCAGCCTGTGCCATGAAAGCTAACTAGGAAACATTTTAATCCGGAACTGTGTCTATGCGCAAATGGAAATGTCGCAGCAAATGAATTTGCATAGAAAGTTGGAGTTTTGCATATAAATAGTGCCGAGCCAGACACAATGTGTGTCATTACTTTAGAATTGCGTTTTCGCACCACAGCACTGTAATCGTATTGTCCGGAAAAGCCATAAATATATAAAATATTGGGTAACCGTCGCATTATGAAAGCGATATTCTGCATTTCGCATAATGCCATAAAATCATGATGTCATTAAACTGAGCGCAGTATTTAACGCGTTGACTGTTTTAGTACAAAAATATAGCAATAACATTGAAAAGTAGACATAAATTTCTATATTTTATATGACTTTGCGATGAATTATATTTGATGATCAATGTAATTCTTTTGCACATGTTATTTATATATATATTTATATAAAATAATTAATTATATTTAATTTTGTGGTATATTGCATATATTTATTTTTCTAAATTTATATACGCGATTGGAAAATTATTAAAAAAATCGGCTTAAATTAAAAAATGTATTGTAGAAATCACTATTTGATATTTTAATTTTAAATAAACCTTAATTCAATTACTCTTTGCATATAAAAATTTCAAAATGTATAAGAGGAATGTATAAGAAAATGTATAAGAGGAAAAATTATAAAATATATAAATTGAAAATATCTAGAACATTTAAGCATACAAAAATTATATTTTATTATTTGCATTATCCTCATTGTTCTTACTAAAAATAGTCATATGCTGATGTCATAAAATATATACCGTATATCCACAAACTTGAGAAAGGTATTTCCTGAAAAGATGTTCCTCCGAAAAGTATTTTTCGGCTGAATGTAGCTGTGAGAGCAATCAAAGAAATGTGAAAAGAGAAAACATCAAAACGAAACTTAACTGCAGTTAAGTTGTTCTTCCAGACAACTCCTCAATTTTGAGGAGTGATGTATCGTGTTCGGATATCACGAAGCTACAAAAGAGTCCCTAGGATAAAATAGACGGGAGAATGAAACGCGACTATGATGTCACGTGGCAGTCGACGCGTTAAATTGCGGAAACACCCCTTTTACGCGGATCTCTCTTCATTTCCACTGTACCTTTCGGCGGGCAGACACAGACGTGCGTAATTTTCGGCGGCGATTGTGGCCAACGTTAGTACGGTCACCAGGAAGCAAAGGGCCTCGAGGGTCCACTCGAATCGGCAGGCACCCAGGGATTCCGCGTAACCCGCCAGGATTACGATCACCGAGACCGGTATTACCAGGCCAGTCACCAGCAGGTCCGCCAGCGCCACGTTCACGAGGAATGCGTTTCCTGGAAAAGAACCCACGTGAAACTCATTAAAGTAATTAACTTCTAACAGTTTCTTGCGATCTGGAAACGCTCGAGAGAGACGGCGTTCCGCACTTTTTGCATTCGGATTACATTGCGGGCACGATCGCGGCAGATGTGCCTCGAGTAATGTTCCTTTATCGCACGAAAATCTCAAAATTGCTCGAAACGATGTCTAAATTAATACGCGAATCGCCTATTTCCCATGCGGATTAAGCTCGATTCCGGAAAACTTGCGGAGATCGATACGCAACACGAGCTTATATCCTCTTTCCTCATAGGAAATCCGTAATCTCTTAAAACATTCAACACGAGCGATTCATTTAATATTTTAGATAAATTTTATTTTCGCTAATTTCGAGACTCTTGTAAGATTTAAGCGGATTTTGTTTCATAACATGATAGGTGATAATATAAATTTATTATCACAATGATTTAATAATATGCAGCACATTATATCGGAATTTAATAGAACAGTATTTTTGAACATCGCAAACGAGATGGATTATTATTCACGAGTATTCACGTATCACGGAAATTTACGAAAACTCTGTATATACAGTATCGGCTTTAATTTCAATTTTAATTGTCGCGCGCGATGAAAGTGGCCAGTGATAATAAATTACATTGATACATGATAAATTAGGGGGCTGCATTCGTCTTTTGTTTCCTACGTTTCTCCCGCGTGCGGGACGCTTTTGTCGCGAATTGGTATAGCTACAATTTATCGTCTAAAATATAATCCACTGAGTTAGACCTCGTCCTTTCCAATCGATCGCGCACGCTTCGCCGCGGCACGCCACTCGAAGTGGGATCTCGGACAATGATATAAATTTCGCGGAGTAACCGTGTTGGACACCGTACCGATCTATCGCGCACGACGCCAGGATTTCGCCCGTATTGCCAAGAGCGACCAAGACATTCCGCACTTTTCCTCTTCCGTTGGCAGAAGTGCCAGCCTTTTCGACCAGGGTATTCTTGTGCCAAGCTATTATATTACGCGGACTATCATCTCAAATTTTTTCACAACTTTGCGCCGTACCGAGAAGCAGCGCGGGCAGATATTTGATTTTCACCGGCGGGGAGAAACCTCGGAGAGAAAGAGAGACCGGCCGGCCGGCCAATCTCCAACATTTAATCAACGCACGCCCACAGGGGCATAATATCGGAGGTCGTAGCTTCTGCTCGGGCGAATCGTAAAAGCCATAGTAATTGCAAAACGATGTCGGCCGAAACGAACAGTCACGTCGGCTGTAAAACTTTACTCAGACGACGGCAAAACGAGATGACGGCGGCGACGACGGCGACGACAAAAACGGTGGATAAGCCCGCGGTGCAGCCGCAGCTGTTATTGCGAGTCAACGATTATAGCATTTCATAAGTTCATACATAGAGCCCGACTAAGCGAAATACCAAATTGTAGAAAGTCACAGAAAGAAAGGAGCGTAATATCCGCATTACCTCGCGTTGCCCCTCTCGCGACGCGATATATTCCCTCGATTCTCGGGGATTTCCCCGAGATCAATACCCGACGAAGACACGGAGAAAAGGAAATAATATCCGTACGTCGTCACGTCCTTAGGGGAGTATAACGCTATAATAAGGTTGCGCGCTTCTACACGAGTGAGAACGAACGTACGTCCCGTTACGCTCGCTCGCACTATGAGTAATAAAATGCGTAATAAGATTTCTTTCCCCGTTTTTCGCCAAGTGTGCGCGTGCTAGAGCATCGTGCTTTCATACGAGGCATCGTGCTTTAACGATCCGTCCTCAAAGGAAAAAGCCAATGTTACATATGTTACCAATGTACACTGCGGGCACCCGGGAACGAACGAAGTTTTCATTAGTTTCAATCGCCACGTCGTATGCATATGTATGCGTCTACGCGTACGAGAAATAATTATTATAATTATACATTTCCTTGCAGCCCGCGTGCTCGTTGTTGTATTGTCTGTCTACTTCACTCACCCTCATAAGATAAATTTTCATTTACTATGGCTTCCTTATGTAAATAGATACCGCGCACAATGGGATAATGCCCCGCGCCACGTGAAGCGACGTGGTGGTGGGTTATCAAGTATTCAAATTACATTAAGAAAAAAAAAAAAGAGAAACATGTACATTGTTATAAGTACCGAGTATCACGGCTCTAACCACGCGGCTTAATTGAGCGGCGAAAGCACTTTTAAGAACTCATTAACACTTATAAATTACGGACAAAAAGGCGCGTTACGATGCAGTCTGCACGTATAATTTGAATTTTTTCCTCGACGTTTTATCTCTATCTCTCCCGAAGCGCTTGGCACTTTTCGTTTCAACATGTTTCAACGCAGCAATTACACGTTTTTACTTGTATACATACCTGGATACAAAGTCTTAATAATCTATTTAAAATTTCTATTGCTTTTACGGCAAGGCGCTCTCGTTAACGCTAACCGAAGGTATATAACGCGGCACATCTAGAGAATTAATAATTCTAAAGCGCCGCGGCGTCAAAAATATCCAGAAATGTGTTCCAGCAGATAAAGTAAATTACGTCGCGACGCTGTCTGCCCATAGGTGACACTCTCGCTGCAAAGCTGAGGCGACATTTTATACCGAGGGCAACCTCTCGGACTTGTCGCTTTTTGGGAGAAGCACGGAATGTAGTGGCACCAACACTCTGCCAACGACTCCGCACGGCCGCCGCAAACGTGTTCGCGCCTTTGGCGAGGATATTACACCGCGATAAAAATGATTACGCGACAAATTGCACCGTCCGCGCTCCGGCGAGAGATAGGCGCTGCCTTTCGCCACCGCCTCCCGGTTAATAGGATGAAATATCGTGGGTTCTGGATAGGCGAAAATTCGAAGAGAGAGAGAGGAGGGGAGAGGAGGGGGGGGAGGAAGAGAGAGAGAAAGTCAGCGGAAGGCTCGCAGGAAAGCGGAGGGACCGCTTCTCTCTTCAGGTATCGACGAATTAAGCCCTAGCAGTAGTCGCATTCGCGCCACCCGCATTCGCCGATCGCATTTTCCGGAGGTACGTTTCGGCGTGACGAGATCCGATCGATTCAGCGGTTGATGCGTGGAATAAATTATCCCGCATCAGCGCTCGTGGCGTCACTTCGAAATTGATTCTCTCTATCTCCCTCCTCTATATCTCCATCTCTCATCCGGGTCCCCTGTCTAGCCGCAGTGCCGCAGCATCGTCATGGGAACGTGCACCCTTCCCCTCCCCCTCTCCCGCCGGGGGTATTCTTCTACGTACCGAATGAATCCGCGCTGATCAGAATTTGTTTTAATCGATTTACCGAGTCAGCCCGCCGCCGCCGCTGCCGCTTGCACTCTCGCGTACTCGCGTTCTCGTTCTCTCTATCCTCACCGGGGCTCGTTTCACGAGCACCGAACCAAACTATTCGCCAACCGCACCGCGGAGTACTCCAAGTATTCGCATTACCAGCGGGGATTCACCGCGTTCGGCCGCCGCCTCCGTGATCGGGGTTTCCAAGGGGAGCACCCAGACGAGACGAGATGGGACAGGAGCGGGAGAAGGAGGATCGGAGGATTCGCCATGGGAAGGAGAAGGAGGAAGATATGGGGAAAACTGGCGGGTTCTCTCGTTGCGGCATTAGATACGAGGGCAGGCAGAGAGTTATACCGGCAACCGGGCCCGCTCGTGCGCGGCTACGCGCCGCGAAATTGACTCGCTCATCCGTGTACACCCTTATAGCGACCCCACGACTGCGCAATCCATTACGGCGCCATCGGGTTACCGAGCATCGCGCGGAGGATCCGCGCTGCGGTGTCGGCTTTTTGTTTCTCCCGAGTTCTCGCCGCCGCGCCGGCAGAGTTCACGCAAACGAAGCCGAAGTCCGTCCGACACTTCACGTCCGCAGTAGAAATGGGGTTTACGTCAGGCACAAATGGACATCCACGAGCATTTCCCCACGATCCTCTTTCTCTTCCTCTCACGTCCCTCTCTTTCTCGTACGTACGTCGCGCGCGCCGCACATCGGAGACGTTTCCTCCTCTGCTGATGCCGGCGCGGGGGAAAAAGGAGGAATCGCGTGCTAGGACCGGATTTCCGGCTACAGACAGGCCAGTTGCCGTCGCGTCACGTTCGGACGTATTTATTGGAAAGGGGACGATCGTGAAGTTTGAAATTGCGCGCGCGATCGGCACATTAAAACTTCAATCTCGTTACAAGCTTTATTCGATGGCCTACAATGTTCCATCTGTATCAAGCTTTTATATTTTATATTATTTATTCGCATGAATTCGCCAATGACTCGAGCAAAAGTTCTCTGTAATAAATGTTTCTCATATTGAAAAACTTTCTCATTTTAAAAAGATGTATGCTTAACTAATCTATAAGATACTATCAATATAAAAAGATTATACAGAATTTAATATAACATCATTAAATGAAAGGATTACACTATAATAGAGAAAAATTTGGAAACTAAGAATGTTAATAACGATGTTAATCATGTAAAAAAATTAAATTAGCATTAAAATGTTATTTATACAAGACTATTGTATTTCCATCAATAGAAGCAAACATAATATCGGAAAACTCGCGAGAAGAGAGCAAATAGCTTATATTTATATCGCTATGTTATTTTCAAAGAACATCAAAGAAATACAGAAAAAAAAGGATAATTTAACTCGCACTTGACGCTTATCAAACACGTTCCATTAAAGCGCCTCCATCATTGTATGTTAAGGATTCATGTATCCCATTCGCGGCCGATATCAGAATTTTATACTCTATTTGGAACGCGCGTATTGAACATGGAAACGATCGGAGCGTCATTGAGGATCGTCTTCCAGAGAACATTTGCATCTGTCACGTCCAAACGCATTTACAATCATTGTAAGAATATCGAGAAATAGTCGTGGACGCGATTCGAAGATTAATCCTCGTTACCGCGATAATAATGACTCAAGTTTCTCGCTGTCATCGCGGCTCGAGAGACAACTGCATCGCGGCGAGCTGCGCGAGAACTTTATAGCTAGGAAAACGAGGAAAACGAAACGAGATTTTCTTGGTGAATGGCTTCGGACGAACGAAAGCCGGTATTATTTGCGCCACTATCGAGATTCATGCGGAATAAAATAGCGGTAAAAATGTTTCGGACCGTTTCAATAAGAATTACGAGGATGGCCAGTGTGTGACGGTACACAGTTATAAAACCGAGAAACTTGGCAAATTGAAGTGCTGAGGAGAAGAAAAAAAAAGAAAAAGG